TAATTTCTTGATGTAAGATAAAACAGATTTTTGTCAACCAGAATATATGAGAAAAATCAAAGAATGAAACTTCCAGAAAAATATCCTCTGCTTCTGGTATCAAAAGAGGGACTGAGAATGGTAAACTTGTAATTGTTTTTCAATGCTATTTCCTATCTTTATTTCATTCAAAACTTATTCTGTACATACATTAAGCAATAGTATAAGGGTAGAAATTACCTGTAATACATGAATTGAATCTATGCTCATCTCCACTCCTAATACATTGGTAGAGATGTGCAATATAAAAATCTAGAGATAAAGTTCTAGATAGCAGGAAAAATCAGCTATTCATCAAAGCTTATGATATACTTTTTAAAAAATATTTCTGGTTATTAGGTTGTGGCTATTTCCCCCTCCTGATGGTAAGTTGCTTTTGCATTACTGTCAGCAATGTGATCCATTCAAATGATTACACAGGCCTGGAACAAACTGGTGAAGTACTAGAAATTTTTGCTTTACAGAGAAGTTGCTGGTCTATAATGTAACTGAGTGTCTGAGAAAGCCTGCCCTGAAAGCTGAGACTGAAATAGTAGTCTGATTTATGAAAACATCAGGAAACAGAGGACAAAATGATATCAAGATTCCAGGAAGTGGGCAGGACATCTTGGTCAAGCCTCTTAAGCCCTATAGAAAGTAATGGAAAAGAGCTATTTTCATGAAGCATATATATTGTTCTTTAGACACTCAGAGGGTGGAGAAGTTACTCATAAGAAAGTATAAACCTAAAAATTCCCGCATGGTTGTACTTAGGGGTGAAAAATAAGGAAAACACAAGAAGGGGGATTAATGGTAAAACAACATGAGGGATCTTACCAAGGTGACAAAAAATGTTCTAAAACTGCATTCTGATGATGACTGGCTAACTTGTGAAGCTCACTAAAACTCATTGAAATATACACTTAAAAAGGGAGAACTTTATGTATATAAGTTATCCCCCAATAAACTTGTTACTGAGTTATAACTTTTTAATCATAGAAAAGGGATATGCCATTTTTTTGGAACCACCAATCCAGAAGTCCTGCTCAAACAACAGCACTCAAATCCTGCAATGGGGACAACTGGACAGCAGCATCAGAAAGATGGAGGGCCTGAGCCCTTTTGCTAGACCTGCGGTCAGCAGCTTGCCAGGGTAAGAGTGGATACCTGCTCACAGGTCAGAAGGTGACAATGGAGATAAGAAGCTAAGGTACCACTTGTTATTCCCAGCCTTTCATACAAAGAATAAAAAAGGAAACAAAAAATGGCCAAGAGAATAAAGAGAAAGAGGGAGATAAATGTGGGCACCAGGAAATAAAATATATGAAAGAATTAATTTCTCTTGGTGAGGATGTGGGGGAAAAGGTACACTCATACATTCTGGTGGGACTGCAAATTGGTACAGCCAATATGGAAAGCAGTATGGAGATTCCTTGGAAAACTGGGAGTGGAACCACCATTTGACCTAGCTATCCCTCTCCTTGGCCTACACCCAAAGGACTTAAAAAGAGCATACTTCAGGGACACAGCCACATCAATGTTCACAGCAGCAAAATTCACAATAGCTAAACTGTGGAGCCAACCTAGATGCCCTTCAGGAGATGAATGGATTAAAAAAATGTGGCATATATACACAATGGAATATTACTCATCAATAAAAGAGAATAAAATCATGGCATTTGCAGGAAAATGGATGGAGTTGGAGAAGATAATGCTAAGTGAAGTTAGCCAATCCCAAAAAACCAAATGCCGAATGTTCTCTCTGATATAAAGTGGCTGATTCATAATGGGGTAGGGAGGGGGAACAAGGGAGGTATAAATGAACTCTAGATAGGGCAGAGGGGTTG